CAACAACAACAACAACAAACAAACAAAAAACAACAACAACAACAAACAAACATAAAAACAACAACAACAAACAAACAAACAAACAAAGAAAAAACCCCAAACCAACAAACAAAACCCAGTGACCTCTGAGCCTACTCCTGTCCCGTTGCTGGATGCTATGGCGTTGACCAGAGTGGGCGGCACCCCACAGTCCACGAGGTCACAGGTTACCGGGGTTCCAACCCACTGGCCGTTCTGATCACACACCAGGACTGTTGGACCTCCATCGGGCTGGGTTGTCATAAAACCTGATGATGGTATTATCATATATAATTTTTTGGGGGGTTGAAGTCTACTGGTGGCAATGCAGTAGAATCAGTTTCTGCAAGAATACCAATTGACAACCATAAACATTATTATGCTGAGAACAGAACAGAACGTATAATTTGTCAAATGACTCGTGCCATTCTTTCGGAAATGTACAAACGAGAAGTCTTTCCTTTAAACCAAGATTTTTTAAATATTCGCAAACACGAAAAAGTTCAATCAATAAATAGGCAATAATTTAACACCAAAAAAAGAAATAAAAATGAGAGTGAAAATGACAATAATGACAATGTTATTATTATATGGTCGCTTTTAAGCACAAGGGGGCTGTCACGAAAAATGCTCTTTGGGGAAAATCGAAGGTAAAGTTTCTGCCCCTTCTTCAGTTTCTTTAAAAAAACAAGGAAAGTTTTCTCTATAACCAAACAAATATGTACGCACCAATGAAACTAAACTTCTCCCATAGGTAGGGCAATGCCCACTTTTGGTGTAGGTCAAGATTTCTGGAAACCTCCGAAATCTGGGTTAGCCCGCTTGCCCGTAAAATAAGTTAAAATCGACCATATATTAATAACATCTGTAGCTCCACTTATATGAGATATTTGTAATGCAAACGTGCAATCCTTCGTTCATAACTCAATTGTCAGCCGTTTTATTTTTGTCATACGAACGGTTACACCTGAAGTATTTGCACTTGCACCTCTGCTCATCCATCATACGTTCGCATTTACCGGTATATATATAATTAAAACGTAATACCCAGTACATACTGCTAATCGAATTCAATAGGATTGTGTAGGGGCCAACTAGATTTTCCACCGTGGAAGGATAAAAGCTACCATTTTGGAACCCTACGACCGATTCGACTCGCGACCTTGAAAAACAATTAACTCGTTCGATTTAATGGTCACAGACAAACTTAGTCGAATCCGTCGATTTGTGCCAAAATGTCAGCTTTGCTCTATCTACGTTGGACAATCTGATTGGCTGTGACTCAAATCGACGATTCCGATTGGCAGTGTGCGCTTGGTATCAGAAACCATTCAGTTTCCGACCTGGTTGGCAAGAATAAACGACCTCTGAGTCTAGGACAGTGCCCGTGTAGTTTCTGGTGGCTCTGTCCACTATTGGTGGCTCTCCACAGTCTATGACGTCATCACAGACAAACAGTGAAGTGTCCGTCCACTGACCGCTTGACTGACATGTTGATGTGAAGGTTCCCGCAGGGGAAGAGAAACCTGTGAGTAGAAGGATGGAATGGGATTTGTTTGTTTGTTTCTTTGTGTGTGTGTGTGTGTTTGTTTGTTTTTTGTTTTGTTATTTTCGCTTAAGGGCATAACTTTAGATACATAGACAGGAGAAACATAGCTTGACAGATCTGTGTGCAGCAGATGGGAACTTTTCAGGCCCTTGATCTGAACCGATAATATAATTGTTCGTGCCAAATATCTTTACGGAAGATGATGATTTTATCACACTGATCCGAGATCGGCTGCACTCTTTAAAAACTAGAACTCTTTCCAGGGCAGATTTATTCTCTGATGAGAGGTAGGAATTCGTTTGTCACATTGTGGCAAGACTGAGAGGTAGCTCACCGATGTGACAACATTATGCTTACGTTTTGTCCAGACCCAAATGAAAAAGTTCTTTCTGTGGCTGTTTTCACTTTCACTTTTTGGACAGCTCTTGTAATTTTTTTAGCAGCCCTAGGAATTACAAAATATTTAAATGATCAATACAAATTAAAGTTGCATGTTGAAGTCTCAATCCCTTAAAATTCAATTCTCTTACGAGATTACTCCAACGAACTTCATCTGCCCTTTGCGGTATAGGTTACCTGTCATGCTTCCTGCCACCGCCCCACCCCCCTGTTTTGTTTGTTTGTTTAAGTACGGTTTTACGACTTTTGCAACTGCATATGCACATATGAGCGCCAAGGGCGGATGTCAGCAGAGAAGTCCAAACAGGGAATCATTCTTACTCTGTTCATCTCTCTAGCATCAACAGTACAAAGTCTGCTTCGACTATCAAGGCACCCCGGAAACAGCACTTCACAACAGAGTGACAAACATACACAAGAAGTAGAGCAAAAACGACGATTGTAAGGATGAGGGAGAAAAAATCAGCAGTTCCCCCTATGTTGTTCTGACACAGTATGAGCATGACATTGATTAATCAGCCCATTTATAATTCTACTGTGCATAAGAACATGTTAATATCCCCTTTTTGGGAATGGCCTAAAGATAACTTCAGTCAGTAGCACTGCCATGGTGCCCCTCTCCCCCCCCCCCACGTTCCATCTTACAGTGATAACCATAACAACATAGCTGGTGTTTCACTTTATAGTGTACATTTTAAAATGGGATCATGAAAGTGTTGCTCAATAATACCTTAAGCCCTAATACGGGGTGCCCATTGCGGATGGGATCGGGTGGGGTCAGATCAGGTCGGGGGCGATCGCACCACTCGTCGCCTGAAAACAAACGCCTTTGTTTTTGAGTTGGCGAGTCAGTCGGGCGCTATGGGCTTGTGCCACGATAGCCGCTGTGCGCCCTTAATCTGGCTAGCAAACTTACCCGACCACACCCGATCAACCAATGGGCACCCAGTGTAACAGTTTACCTATCATCTAACGACCATATCTATAACCGTGTTCATCCATTGTTAACGACCTTTACCACGATACGAGACCACAAAGTAGAAGAAATAATTATACAACACAACTCTCGACCTGGTTGGCAAGAATAAACGGCCTCTGAGTCTAGGACAGTGCCCGTGTAGCTTCTGGTGGCTCTGTCGACCAATGGCGGCTCTCCACAATCTATGACGTCATCACAGACAAACTGTGAAGTGTCCGTCCACTGAACGCTTGACTGACATATTGATGTGAAGGTTCCCGCAGGGGAAGAGAAACCTGCGACCAAAAGGACAAAAGTTGTTTATCGTGCAGGAAATGTGTGCTTGGTTTTTAATGTTTTTTTGAAACTTGTTTCGTTTGTTTTTGTTTGTGTTTGTGTGTTTTTTGAGGGGTTGGGTGTTGTTTTTGCGCCCTTTTTGAATTCGTGAATTTCGAGATTTTCTTAAAGAAATCCAGGAACTCAAGTCGATCTCAAAATTATGTTTAAAGGGGCTTTACTGCACTGGAAACCGAAAAATACATACAGGGCGATCCAAAAAAAACCTTAACTACTTTTTTTCTAAATATCTCGCGCAAATGTTGTTCTATAAATATGAAATTTGGAACAGATAAACTTCCATCAAAAGGAATTTGTTTGACATAAAATTCATACAGAAGAAGCTTTTATTTCAGAACGGAGAAAGCATAAAGAAAATAAAACACCCATAAACGTAAAATGCGCCAATTTTTAAAAAAGACACTCTCGCAAGGAAAGTTATGAGACGATTGATTTGATTTTTGTCTTCTTTTTCTCTGTAACACTTAATTGTTCCAACCTTGTGACATTAAACAATATTTAACTTCTCTTAGGGAGTTAAGAACTAACATTTTTTGTTCTGGAATTTCTAAAACAAATGCTCCACATGCCCTCCTTTGGACTCCAAACATCTTTTAACGCGTCGTTTGAAATGCTTGATGACGGCCAAACACAGTTCCCGCGGAATGTTTTTCTCTTCATCACGGATTGCTTGTTTCATAATTTCAATGTTTTCAAACTGGTTTTGAAATATCCTGTCCTTCAGATAACCCCACAAGAAAAAGTCTAAAGGATTCAGTCATGAGAATGCGGAGCCCAAATGTGTTCACTTCTGCGACTGTTCACATGATTTCCAAAGTGGTCAGCTAGCCATGTCATTGATCTGACAGAAACGTGTAGCTTGGCCCCATCTTGCATGAACCACTGGCCTTGGCGATCCAAGTGCCGGTGTCTCCACAGATCCGTCCAGAATTTCTTCAGCACCTCGATATACCGGTCTGTGTTCACAGTTGCAACATGTCCGTCTGCATCTTCAAAAAAAGAAAAAAGGGCCCACCAAACCATGAGTGCTTAAAGCCACCCACACAGTTCACCTTTCAACATGGAGTGGCTTCTGGAGACAGTAGGGAGGTTGGTGGGATGCCCAACAGATAGAATTTTTTGGAGTTTACATATCTTGAAAGTTGAAAATGCGCTACGTCACAGAACCAGACGTCATCTAAGAAACTCTGGCGTCCTCCAAGGCGGTCGAGGAACCACCGACACATTGCCACCCTCTGTCCCCGGTCAGTCTCTCGAAGCGTTTGCCTAACATGAATATAGTATGCGTAAGTTAAGATCTACTTTAAGAATACGGACTGTCGATGTGTATGTGGGTGGTTGGCGGGTGCTCTTGTATGGTTTGTTCCTTCTTTCCTGTCAAACATCTGTCCCCTTCTCAAACTTCTCTCCCCTCCTTCTTTTTTGTGTATGTTACTCTCTTGTAACACGTATTCTATTCTTCGGCACTTATATTATTATGACCTTATTGTGTTGCAAGTGCCGTAAAACTCTTACTAAAACTGAAACTAAAACTCGATGTGTATGAAAGTCCTAGCTGTAGGCATTGTCTGCAGACAGATGTCTCATTAGATTCAGCGACTGAGTTCTACACCCTCACGAAGTTTAAAGGGGTTTAAATTGTGCGCGTTCGACTTGAAGCGGTCGCTTTTTCTGGAGAGTTTTTTTGTTTTGATTTTCTATACACCGAAACTGCCGGAACTTTTTTACCCATAACATCAAAGAAGGCCTTGATGGCACTTTAGCATTCTTCCCGTACCTTGTGCGGAACTTACGAAATGTCAGGGATGGGGATTTTGTGGAGAGGTAATGTTCAATTCAAAATGCTCTCTGCTCCTTATTAAACTGAATCATGATTTATTTGGATAGACAAAAGGAACTTGAAAAATAATGTCTGCAAACTTCCGTTGGCCTGTTAGAGTGCTGTAGCTTGCAATATGACGCAATTGTTACGACATTTTGTCGTAATGCGTACTGGTGCACAGTGTAATAAAAGGGGACAAAAGCAAAAAATGGGTTGTTTTAAAATACGTATTATACTGCAGAATTATTTAGTGGAATCATCTAAAATGAATATAAGTTAAATTCCTTTTGAAAGAGGAATATTGTGTTCAAATTTGAAGACGAAAACTTCTGTGTGGAGGAAAATATTCACGAAAAAAATTTGTAGAGGTTTTTTTTTGGATCACACTGTACCTGATATTGTGAGAATTCGAAACGTTCGCGAAAAGACAAAAATGGAAAAGAAAACATGAAAAAAAAACGCGCAATAAAAAACAACAACGATGTGCAGTAGGTAGGCTACATGTCAGATAGGAGATACATTGCTTGATAGAGATAGATAGATAGATAGATAGATAGATAGATAGATAGATAGATAGATAGATAGATAGATAGATAGATAGATAGAAAAACAGAAAGCTGGACGGATATATACATTTTTAGCGTCGTCCTTGATCGTCTTCGTTTTGTCAGATATTATTTTTATTTCTAAGTTATTTCTTTATTTCATTTCATGGGGAACAAGAATTCACCTGAAAGAAAAAATCAGAACTGCATGTTAGGGTGGATTCTTGGATCGTTTCAAATTGAAATCTCGTATGAATTTACCACGAATCTGTTGATAAATCCATTTTAATAAGTTGGCTACAAACGAACTTGTACTAACGATCACCTGTCCAAAGCAGTAATCTGTACAAATGACCACTTCATACTCCCACCCCGCCCGCCCCCAGCGTTTTTTTTCTCTAAATTATAAAGACGCTGTCGAAGAGGACCAACAACCTAAGATGACCACTTCTCTCATCGACAATGGCTGGTCACCCTGGACAGGTTCGGCTGTATCTCTACCGACGTCATAGCGTCGTATCCCCCCCCCCCCTTCCACAACCCCTTCTAGAAATGTGGTTTCTCAGGAGACTGCTGAGAATATCGTGGAAGGTAAAGAAATCAAATGAGGTAGTGCTTGATTAAGCCCACGTGAGACGCCCAGAGTTAAAAATTTAAAACAATCAGGAAACGACAAATGCAGTTTTTTGAGACATCCGAATAGACAAAAAGGTCTTGAACATCCAGCTCTCACTGGCAAAATTGCAGGCAAACGAGGTAGGGGTACGTCCAGAGCAACCTACTTAGGGAACCTAAACAAATGGGTAACCGGGAAAGATCAGGGAAACATAGCTTTTTTTAAGAGCATCCGAGCAAAGGAATGAATGGAGAACCATGATCACCGATGTCTGCCGCAGAAATGGCACTGTATGATGAACCACAATACATATGTCTTCCTGTAAAGAGTTCTTCTGTGATAGCCTGGGTAGTATCGCCCACCACAAGTTGGTTTTTCTGCGGGGGCCGTTATTTATTGTATTCCTCTCAGTCCGGGTTGGCCCTGAATGCAGGGTGGAAGCTCGTCTCCTTGATGACCTAAGATATGTTGTTAATGTTGTTGTTGTTTTCAACTGAGGATTATACGTTCAACTCAAGGCCTACTGGTCATGTTGTGTAAGTCTTTGCTATTCATAACAGAAACAACAGCTTAAATAACCATTCAGATGTTGGTGTTGTTGTTGTTTTCAACTGAGAATTATAATTATTTTCATTCAAGGCCTATTCATAATCTACTGAAAGTCTTTATACCAACTTCTTACTAGGAACATTAATAGTTTAAATTTTAATAACCATTCAGTTCCCGACCTGGTTGGCAAGAATAAACAGCTTCTGAGTCTAGGACAGTGCTGGTGTAGTTCCTAGTGGCTCTGTCGACCAATGGCGGCTCTCCACAGTCTATGACGCCATCACAAGAGAAGGCTGTGGTGTCTGTCCATTGACCGTTTGTTTGACATGTGGCTCTCATGACCGAACCCGCGGGCAATACCAACCCTGAAAGCAGAAGGGCAAAGGGTTTATTGTGGGGGGGGGGGTTGTTTTTGTTGCTGTTGTTTTTTATTTACGCTCAGGAGTATAGACACCTAGAAGGGAAATCTGTAGCTTGATGTATAGATGTGTAGGGAGATATATTTGTAGTAAGAGTTAAATAGCACTTGCTACACAATAAGGTCATAAAAGTGTCAAAGATTAGAAGTGTTACAAGAGTTTAACACACCAAAAAAAGAAGCAGGAGAGATAAAGAAAACAGATGCAGATAGGAAGAAAGTAGCAAATCACACCAGCGCACCCACCAACCACCCACTGCAGGAAGATAGGTATTGGAAGTTAGGAAATCTCTTAGGTAAATAGAATCAGATAAGTAGATAAATAGACAGACAGACAGACAGACAGACAGACAGACAGACAGACAGACAGACAGACAGACAGACAGACAGACAGACAGACAGGCAGGCAGGCAGGCAGACCGACTGATATATAGATAGATAGATAGACAGACAGACAGACAGACAAACACACAGAGAGACAGACAAACAGATAGATAGATAGATAGACAGACAGACAGACAGACAGACAAATAGACAGATAGATAGATAGATAGACAGATAGATAGATAGATAGATAGATAGATAGATAGATAGATAGATAGATAGATAGATAGATAGATTGATAGATAGATAGATTTCTTCACCTCAAATCTCGAAACACAAGACTTGATAAACTTAACATTGGAATAGTACGTTGGGATAGAGCCTTATATGATTTAACCACAACTGCCTCTATGCGCTAAATTCCATATACCTTCCAATAAACCAATAATAATAGTTCGTCTGGCAATGATTTCTAACAATGCCTTATGCATCTGTAGAGATGATTATACATTCGTAAGCGAAATAGATGAAATAACGAACAAAATGACAGCTGGCTTCTGATCAGATGTTGCCAATGAGTCCAAATCTGGCAGAAAAGAGTTTGGCACATTTTTGTAGTAGTTAAAAGCTTCATTACCATCTGTGAAATGTGCGCAGCATGCGGACTTCACTATTGGCTTCGGCATTTCTAATTCGTGAAACTTCATACGATTTGCTGCCCACTGTGATCATTGCTCTTTACCCAGGTCTCTCAGGCAGAGTTAGGTTCTGCCATGGGAAGTCTTGCATGTTGAAGTCTTTCAGAGACAGTATAGCAACAACAATAGTTCGGCTACCAGTATGATTTTCACTTGGATGACAATGTACCAAAGCACTTGTATTTAAAAACCCAAATCCGCGTCTTTCACACCGTACAGCGGGCGGTTGACGGGTGCTCTGGTGCGGTTTCCTCCCTCTTTCCAATAAAACATCTGTCACCCTCATCTCTCTTTCTTTTCTTTGTGTGTTAATCTCAAGTAACACCACTAATCTTCAGCACTGGAATGACCTAATTAAATGTGTTGCAAGTGCCCTAATGCTCATATTAAAGCTAACGCTAAACTTGACACAACAACGCAAGAAACGATCCAACTTCCGACCTGGTTGGCAAGAATAAACGACCTCCGAGTCTAGGACAGTGCCTGTGTAGTTTCTGGTGGCCTCATCCACTATTGGCGGCTCTCCACAGTCTATGACGTCACAGGCAAATTTTGAAGTGTCCGTCCACTGACCGCTTGACTGACATGTTGATGTGAAGGTTCCCGCAGGGGAAGAGAAACCTGCAAGTAGAAGGGCGGAATGTTTGTTGTTGTTTTTTTTTCTTTTGTTTTTTTTAAGCTTAAATGTTTAGATAAACGGAAAGGAAAAATATGGGCTGATAGATATAATATTTATGCGTAGGCAGGTAGGGAAGGCAGAGTTTGAAATGAGAGGTGCATCTGATATATTTTCTTTTGATATTGAAACGTATCTTATGAAAGTAATACGTGGCGTTGGTGGCCTTGTGGTTAGGCTCTCGGACTCGCAACCATAAGGTCGTGGGTTCGAATCCCGTCAGGGGCCCGACGTTGTATCCTTGGGAAAGGCACTTTGCACAAATTTTCTTCACCTTACCCAGGTGGAAATGGGTACCCGGCTATACACAGTGAATGATCTTATCAGTTTGATAGTGTTTGAGCGCGTGAAATCCGCAGCTTGCACTGTATGCTTCCGCGGAAGC